AGTTGACAAATCCTTGCAAAATAAAACAAAAACAAACTTAAAAGTCTTTTTGTCCAATCAAAAAGGGCACAGATGTTCCCAAATAATCTTGACACCAACGACCGTCATTCAACGTCGTAACAATCCTGTCAAAAACGCAATCTGCTGGATTTCTCAAGATTGAATTCCATCCTATAATGGTACACTGCACCTGTCCCTCAAAGTGACTATACAGAAAAACTCTGACTAACCTGCCATGTCTGATGTATTTCACGTCTTTATGTGTTTCTTGTTTACCCTGATGAGAGATACAAACATATTGTCGAGTTACTTATGATCTCTTGCTGTTGGCATACTTTAACATTGTAAAAAACATAGATGAAAAAATTACTTGATTCTGATTGGCTGAGAGCAGTGCAATTCAAGTGTAACACCAGTGCACAAAGTGTGACACCAATGCAAAAAGTGTAACTCCAGTGCAAATTACACATTGTAATTCTGGATTATAATTGGCTGAAAGACAATAGGAAATTTTCTAAGCCAGTGATATCACGTAAAATGATAGTGAAACCTCTCGAATGAGAAAAAATGGCTTCAAGAAACATCTCCCAGCACTTCCTCCATGCAAATTTTTTTATGGTTATATTTTTAAGAAGTAATCATACGGTTTTTCTCGTTCAATTTGGAATTAACTTGCAGGAGTGAGTTTTTCTCTATATACATGTATAGTGATTACCTATACAAATATAACTGGTGGAATTAAACCTACATGCATTAAGATTTCTTCCTTCTCTATCAAATGGTGCACATTTGTGTTCCTTTCCTTGTATTCCTAATCTGTAGGTTCAGGGTCTGGCATGGTGTAATTGAACCCCAACAGGTCAAATGTCTTCCCTGCCTCAGCATAATCCTCTTCATTTAGGGAATCCAACAATGTCACCCTTTCCTCCTCTTCCCTCATCATTTTCTCCCACCGTTCTTGTTCTACTGTTGACATTCTAAGTTTTCATTTTTCTACAGTCTTTCATTTTTTTTAAGGGTTGGACATTCTCTCACAGTTTCCCAGGTGGAATGTCTCATAAAATAATGAAGCCATTCCTTTCTTCCAGCTTTTGCCCAGGGTCAGTTATTCATCTCCATGTCTCTGTTATCATTTAGCTTGAAACGGAAGGCATGGGGATGACTGTAGCCTTGGAATTTTGATGAAAAGTCAGGAAGCCAGGCCTTAACATCGTAAATATTTTCAACTGTACATGTGATGGGGGTTGGACTGTATGCACTTTGGATAATACGAAGTCTGGGAGAGTCACAGCATTTTGCTTCGCCAGGGCTACGGAAATTCGGCTGAAGAGCTGAAAGAATACAGTTATAGAAATCAGGCTATAGAATTTAGTAGGTCACAAATATATTAATCTATGTACATTATAAGCCAGCTACCACTTTTAAGGCTGAGGCAACTAATTGATCTGTGAGGCAAATAATCTATCTGTGAGGTACTGACAAATCACACTATTTTGTGATAACAAAATTCAATAATGGGGTTGTTTAATCACTTGATTACCAAGTTTGTTGTCATATTTAAATCACTCTAACATCTCAGGGAAGCCATCTGCCATGTGTCTCTATATAGATTTAACCAAGCCTAAAAGCAGAGCTCCTGGGTTGGGTTGTTCAAAGCCCGATTAAGCTAACCCAGGATAAGCAAGCATTTTGATTAGAGTTTTGTAACTTTGCAGTGAAGTTTTCTGTATATTTGTTTGGCTTTCTGTTTTGAGTTTGAATAATCTTAAATTACACAAAACAAAAGCAATGAAAAACATTGTATACAAGAAAAGTCTATGTTTTGGTTAACTTTTGGTCCTAAGTTGGTGGTAACCACCTTCCGAATAACCCAGTCCTGCTTACAACTAGTTAACCTGACATGAGCCTGCAATCCAATAAAAAAACCAGCACTTGGACAGAGACAACTTAAAAAAACATGTGATCTTGGTGTGCTCTAAACTTGAGCCTCCGATATGGTCGTGTGATACTGGTCAGTGGGTACCTTGTTTTGGCAGGTGTCAATTGACCATAATATAGATGTCCCATATCGAAGAAGGATGCTTTAAACCAAAGCTGCATGTCTCTGTCAGCCTATTAGCTGGAGTATGGCAGCCATTTTGCGAGACTCCATTGTTGCCGTCGCCATTGTTGTCGTGCATATGCACCTATGATCAATAGCGCTAGCCATGATAGCCATAAGAAACTGGGCCTCTGCTCTGGTCTGAGTATGGGACTCTGCTTGGTGGCCCTTTGGGCTGCCAGAACTTTCTCTATAAACTCGAAACACTGCGGCCTAACATCCCGGGGGAACTTATATAAAAAGGATGGGAATGTTTGTCATTCCTTTTAGGGGGAAAAGCAGTTTTGATGCCCCATAAGGTGTTTAGCCTCAAAAGGCCCACAGCAGGAGCTTTTGCAGTACTTTCTAGGGTATTGCGCCGAAAAAAAAAATGACAGGGGATATTTGACTATAAATTTTACGAGTAGAAAGTTTGAATCGTCTTTATCGCTAATAAAATTATGTAAGTGTTAATTAATGTGTTGTTTTACAATTGGTACCTCTTGGGCCAATTGGTACCTCAACGGCCAGAAAACAGGAGCTTGGTAACTCATAGGGGTTCTACATGGGAGTCCCCTTCCCCTTACCCCCACCCCCGCCCCCCGCTCTTAACATTCGATTTACCGAGTTGTAATTCACGAGATATCGAAATATTTTTGGCTAAATAAATGTATTAAAGTATGTAAAATCTTTTCGACCGTTTAAATACTCAGAAGTAGCAATAAAACATAAAGTTTTCATTACCTAATTTATGTACATACCAAGCATGGTCAAAGACACACGTTGCATCTTGTCAGAGTTGGCTTGCTGTTTCTGGCGCTTGGATAGGTGAGCTAATTTTCCTCCATAAGATTCCACCATCAAAATTTTGTGTCTGGAACATGTTTGGGAACATTTCTTGTAATGTAGACACGGCATTAGCCAAAGTTTGAAAGAAGAAGCGGAGCTTCCACGCACCTCATGCAAAGAGCGAAAAATATTTGATGCTAAATCAAGTTCAGTCCCAAGGCCCCATGTCGTTTTTCGTAGCCGGCGGGACCTTGGTGCGAGGAAAATGTTGGCTCTGAAGACTTTAGTAATCGCTAGTTTCATTCCTTGAAATATCCAGTGGGGAATCTAGTGGAGGGACCCAGGGGTCCGGGGGCCCTGAGGCCCCCTAATTTTGGGTGAAAAAAGAAGAAATCACAGAAGGAAGAAAGCCAGCAGGGCAAGCAAAACAAAACCGGGCACCCCTTAGCTCAAGGTCTGGATCCGCCACTGATATCGACTTGTTGATCTTTGACTAACAGTTACTTTAGAGCTTGTACAGACCTTTACGACTTG